AATCTGGTGTCTTATTTTTAAAACAAATAAATACTGAAGTAGCAAGTCTCACACTGATTCACGCCTGTGTGCCAGCCTGTCTCTGCTGTCCTGACTTCCATTCTCTCCCCCCGACCTCCTCCCTGGAATGCCCATTCCATTCTCTGTTAACCAGCTTCAGTTGGAAATGTGTTCTGACATCAGGGGTACTTGTTCCTTGGTGGCCCCTCCCCCTCTCACCATCCTTCCCATCATACTTTGAAAGCTTGCAGTTTCCTCCTTTTCCTGCCACACCAGTAGCACTCAGGGCTCCTCTCCCTCTGGCTCTCACCACCCAGCCACAATGCACTTCTCTGGCTCTCCGGTAGGTATGGCTCCTTTCCACCCCAAGGCCCTTACACATGCTATTCTTTGATGTCTCCAGCTTTTCTTGTAGGTGATTCTTCTTTCTTCTAATTCCAGTTGGAAAGTCACTTCCTCAGGGCTGGTAACATTCCCCCTAACATATACTCTCTTAATGCCGTAAACTGTACTTAGCACTCGTCACAATTGTCATGATCCATATTTGTTTGAAATCTGACATTACTGCCAGGACACAAGACCCGTTAGGGCAGGCCGTGCCTACTGTGTTGTGGCTGTGTGCTCAGAGCCCGGTGCATTGCCCAGGACAGAGTAGGTGCTTACCAAATATTTGTTGCATGAATGAGCGAAGGGAGGCTGTTTTGTCTTCCTTTTCCGCCCTGGCGCCCGTTATGTCTTGTCATCTGCTGTCCAAAAATCTCAGTCTGAGCTCTAATTAAATAAAAGACAGTGCAGACCAAGGGGAGGCAAGAATCTACTCTTTGACGGACAAAGGCTCGTTCTGTCCTCACAAGCGCGCGCGTCTCCCTTTTCTCCTCCTTAGCCCAACCATGGAAGGACTCCTTATTTTGTTTGAGTTAGCGTGACCACGTGGAAGCAGCGGAGGTGGGGACTTGTGTACGCTCGGCCACTTCTCCAGCATCACCTGTGAACTAAACAGCTTGATAAGCTCGGACCCATCTGTCTTTTGGGGGTGAGAGGAGGATGCTCCCTAACGGGCCATGGCGCCCCCTTCAGGCCACTCCCTTCTCCTCTCCACTCCTGCTCCCCCTTGGTTCAAGCCCTCCTCCCCTCAGGTCTGCAAAGCTTCTCTGCTGATTTTCCAGTCTCCGACATCCCCCAGCGCCAGGCACATCACCACTGGGTTCCCACCAACAGCCTTGCTTAAGTACCTGCAGTGACGCTCTGCTGCCTTTGCAGGCAAGACCAAAGCCTTCACTCTTTCAACACCCTGCCTGGCCAAACTATCTCCCACCACATTGCAGGGCCACCTCCACATCTCCAGCATGGGCTTGTGTGTTCCACGCTCTGTGTTTTCCCAAATCCCACCCCACCCACCACACCTCCCAAATCTGGTCCCACTCCTCAAAGCCCACGCTGCCTCCCATGAAACTTTGCCATGAAATGTTTCCTGATGTCTCCAACCCACAGCCATCTCGCCATGGACTCATCTCTGGTGACAACATGAGTTAATAGCACCCTATTTCACTATGGATCGGTCTCTGATTTTTCTCTGTGTTTTAGTCTTATCTCTTACTGGGCTCATGGTTGATGATTGATAAATATTTGGTTGAATTGTGGACTAGGGAAAATATAGCAATAAGGCCATTAAAAGAATCCAAATTGGTTAAAATTGCAAGCATGGTTGTGTATGTGCGCGTGTGTGTGTGCACGATCCTGCGTGTGTTATCACGCCGAAAGCTCTCTTCCATCTCTTTGGGAAATATTCCCGAAGGCCCTTCAGTTTTCCTGTCACCCATACTGGAGCAGTGGATGCTCTGTCCCCGCTCTGGCCTCTGATGTCTGGCGTATGGCCCCTTCAGTACCTGCAAAAGCATCCACCTTCTGAATGCAGCGCAAAGAGGCAACACGTTCTCCCATGGTACCCAGCATCCGCTGAACCTGTTTCTGTTTCTGCAGCTAAGAATTCATCCCTGGCTCTGAGGCTCTCCAGGACCAGCGGTGTGTGTGCCAGTGGATAGGGTTGGGGGGTGGGGAGGGAGAAGGATGCTGGTGGCCTGGCGCTGACAGGCAGTTTCTTGCCCAGTTCAAACTTGTACCAGAATACAAGGACCCCTGCAGGACAAAGCCACATATTCTGAGTTACCAAGGGCAGAGCTGACTGATTCCTGAGCTTGGACAGTGGAATTTCTAAAAGCACAGAAGCTGAGTCTGGTTTCTATCCTCAACTCCTGGTACACAGTCAGTGATTGATAAATATTTAAGGAGTGAGTGTATGTACATGTGGGCTGGCAGGGGACTCCAGAGGGGCAGAATTCAGCTCCCTATGGAGAGAAACATCTTTGAGACCCGTGGGCCTTGCTTGACTACCCCCAGTTCTAGTGTTCCCACAGGGGGAGGACAGCTGCTCCTCAGGGATGCTATGCCTGGAGAATCTAAGTGATAAACAGGATGTTAGGCCTGTAACAATAATACACTATTGTTCTTGTTATCAATACTAATTAATAAGAGTTACCATTTACTGAGTACTTACTACGTACACTAACCACCAGCAGAGCATATCTTATTTAATTATGACTCTCTAAGGCCTTTCGACTTCTGGTGGCTGATGGACTTATTGGGTTCATCATTAAACATTGGCCGAGTGCCTGCCCTGTGCCAGACACAGGAGGAGGATTCGGGAAAGGAGGACAAGAGGGCAGGAGCAGAGGAAAACTCGCTGCCCTAAGAACTCTCAATTCAAGAAGGGAGACTGAATGAATGAATGAATGAATGAATTAAAAAATAAATAAATTTTTAAAATTAAAAAAAAGAAGGGAGACAGCAGTGAAAACATAAACTAGAATTCAAAGCAGAAAAAGATTAAGAACTCAGGAGAGTCATAGACAAAGAGTTTGGGGAACAGCCCAGAGAAAGCAGTGATTACTTCTAACAGGGTGAGGAAATCATGGAAGGCTTCATGGATGAGGTAGCATTTGACGTGGTCTTTTAAAATCCATAACATTTCCATAGGCAGAGAGTGAGGAAAGGGCATTCGACACTGACAGATCAGCATCAGCCAAGGTCAGGAGCTTTGGAAATAAGCGATGTGTTAGAAATCAGTGCCTTCCATGGTATGGCTGGAGTGTCGGCTGGGTGAACGAAGGCACTCAGGGGACGGGGCATGGTTTTGTGCCAGATCCTGGAATGCCTTCAATGATGGGTTGAAGTGTTTGGATTTTTTTCTGCAGGTAATGGATATTTTTGAGGTGGAAGCAATTTTTTTATTGAGATAATTCTAGCAAAAATGAAAGTTAGATGGGAAAGAAAATAAAAAATAGCTCACATTTATTGACGGCCTACCAAGTGCCAGTCACTATTCTAAGCAACTTGCATTCTGTCTCACTCCATCCTACTAGTGCAAGAAATAAGTTCAATGATTAACCCATTTAACAGATGAAGAAAACTGAGGCACAGAGAAGCTAAGCCACTTATCCAAGGCCACTCACCTCTTCAACAGACAGCTCAGGAGTCCAACCTAGAAGTCTTCTCCAGAGCCACTTTTCACTATCCCAGTCGACCACCTCACCTAGAGACCAGTTGGAACCTTGTCTACCACCAGGCCAACAATACCCAAGAGGGGAAGGGGGCCTGAATTAAGATTGTAGAGATGAAAACTTGAAAGAGGCAGCATTTACTTACTGCCTTTTGTGTAACAAAGGGGGTGGGGGCAGGGAATATATACATATTTGTTTGTTTGTCTCCACGTGAAATACTGGAGAACACGAGAAAGTGATGAAAGCGGCCACCTGCACAGGGCAGGGCAGGGGGCAGGAGTGGGTGCAGAGTGGATGGGGTGAGGGCCCTCTAGGTATGGCTTTTAACAGAGTTCTGATTTCTGACCCGTATAAATCTATTATTTATTTTCAAAATACAAATGATTAAAAATGGAAAGGTACTAAACGAGCACGACTCTGTAAATCAACTACACTTCAAATAAAAATAAATAAATAATAAAAGGGTTTTAAAAGACGTTGACTGGAACGGCTTAATTTAAAAGCGAATTCAGTGCAACACCTAACAGCTGATTGAATCTGGAAGACCATGAAAACGAGAGCACCTGGGTCTCCAACTTGAGTGTTTGGGGAGGGGTAGTCCTTTAGCTGACTGGGAAAGACAGGATTGTGGGTTTGAAAAAGTTCAGGTTTTTGTGGATGGAAGTGAACGTTGGAGGCTGAGGTTTAGGATGGGGGTGTTAATTTTAAGCATTCGCGTGATGATGATAAAAAAAAAAAAACCCCTGTGAGTTTGTTAGGATTAAGGGGAGAGTAGAGAAAGAGAAAGCAAGAGGGCAGAAGACGGGATCCGAGGAACTTGCAATGAAAGTAAGATGGAGACGGCGCAGGCCTGGCCGAGGACGGGGCAGAGAGGTGAGTGCGAGGGAAGACACGGAGCAAACAGCTTCCAGAAGGAGGGGAATGGTCTCCCGGGGACCAGTGGGTTAGGACCGAGAAGAAGATGGTAGGTTTGGGGATCAGAATGGTTTGCTTCTAGAAATAGGAGAGAGGGGACTTACCACAGACACTGGATAAAACTACCCTCCATAGGGTCCCCCGCGGGACATCCGAGCACCCCGCCCCGCATTCTGTAAGAGAACAAGCCTGGAGGGCACTGAGGGCCGTTCCGTCTCTCCTCCCAGCCAGTGTAGATATCCTGTCACTCGGGAAAGTGTTTTTAAACAACATACACCAGCAACTGAGTGGTTAAGAGGGAACCTGAGACAGACAGTCTCTGATTTTCTGTTATCACCCCACTCAGGCCAATGGAAACCTTGAATGTGATGTTTTGATTTTGCTTTTTATTCTTCCCCTCTCGGTTTCCATCACACACCTCAGTGCAAACACAATTATACACACGCGCACATGCGTGCTCACGTGCACGCACACACACACGGCATAAAAGGGTCCCTTCGCAAAAGCATTTCTCTAGATCTGCTCAGAGAGGAAAGCGGAGGAAAGGAGCGAGAGCTGTGAGCCGCCCTCGCTGCTCTTCCTCCCCTTTAAGGCTGCCTGGTTACGGTCCTGGGAAAGAAAACCCCTGCATTCCTCCCCTTTAATTCGGTTTATTGTTGAAGCTCCGGAGCAGCCAATCTTCACAGACCTGTAGGAGCTGGAGTGGGAGCACCACGAGCCCCATTCTCTCGGAGTCCCTGGGTAAGAGGAACCTACTTCTTTGTTGGGTTTGAGGAGATTTCCTTGCTTAGTGGGAGACGTGTGGCTCCTAGACAGTGGGTTTGAAGAGCCACTTTTGCAAAAAAACAAACAAACAAAACTTGGGTATTTATTTCAGCCCCAGTTCCAGTGTTGCCTGACTCTCCTGGTAGAGGGGAAGTTGTAGCTGTCTCTCGGAAGATAAGTCTGAATGGGGCTCCGGGTGGGACCCCTGCAGGGAGTCATCTAGCCATCGCTCCAGGGTTGGCTCTAGTGGGAACCTTTTGCACTTCTGGGCAGAGAAAAGGCAGCAAAATATCTGTATATGCCCCTCCTGCAATGCCTGCCTGCAGGCTGCATTCTAGGGACAGTCCTCCAGGCTCTGTGCCTGGGAGGGGCTGTCCATCTGCAGGGTGTCGGGACCTCCAGCCTGCTCGCATCCCTCCCTCCTGCTCAACCTTCACCTCTTAACCTCTCTGACCCCATCTGTCAAATGGGACAATGCCCACGCTGGTTCTGCTGACCTGTCCAGGTTGCTGGGAGGATTAGAAGAGCCAGAGGGCAAAAAGGAGGTTTGTAAACGGCCTGTGGCTCTGCAGACCCCAGGAAGGCGGACCAGGCTCAGTCCCTCCTGGCAGGGTCCGCAGCCGGCTCCAGCTCCCCCTCCAGTCCCTGGTGCGTTAGGATGCAGAACTCAGCGGAGGCACTGCTGTCAGTCACGAGGCCCCTCCTTTACCTCCCTCTGGTCTCTAAACTTCCTTAGTTCAATTCTCAGGTAAAGATGGTTAAGAGGAGGTCTGGATTCACCACCACCCCCATGCGCACTGTGGCCCCTTTTCTCCACGTTACTTTGACGCACAAACGTTAACCCTGAGGCTCCCGGAGGTGGCTGCCAGGGCTCTCCCTGCTGGCCTGGCTGCAGTGCTTGTTCTAAAGCCAGACCAATGGCCGAGGAGGAGAATCTCTGAGAAGGGTCAAGGGAGTCAAGCAGGTTCTGTCCTGGGTAAGGGGAAGATCCTTCCCAGACTAGAAGCTGGAGACAGAGCCCAGCCCCTGGTCCTGCTGACCCAAGCTTAACAAGGGCCAGAGACCAGACCTCAAAGGCCAGAACACGAAGTGCTTAGTAATGCCTGATATGGGGACCACACTTTACAGTGACTAATGTGCCTGTAATTAATCATCTTTCAGACAAGCCCATCAGGCAGGTGGGGCAAATAGTATTTCTCGCTTAGTAAAGATGAGACCAAGGAGGTTTGCAAAGCTGGATACTGATGTTATCCATCTGATGATAGTAGCATTTGAATCCAGATCTTCTGACCTAATCAGTGACCTTTCCATGATACTACAGATAGCGATGGTGTGGGTGTGGGCAGGTGTACGTGTAATAAGAGCACTCTTAAAAGATGGGACAGAACTTGGGGAAAGAAGCTCAAGGTTAGAGTGAGAAAGGTTTGAGCTAGAGCCAGTCGCAGCTCAGGCACGAGGTAGACAGACGTCCAGCCACAGTCTCAATGCTGAGTGTTCCCGGGATCCAGCCATTCCCAGATCCTTCAAGCCAAGCCATGTGTTCCAGGGGGATTCAGTCCATTGTGGGGATTACCTGAGAGCATCCTCAGGATGAGGGCAGAGGTAAGTGAAATCCTGACAGCCACCCCCAGGAAAGAGGCAACAGGTTACATGATGGGGACAAGGAGACTGCTCTTGGGGTCCGATGGTCTGGGGCTCATGCCTGGCTCTGTCATTTACTATCTGTTTGATTTGGGGCATTTTTCTTATCATTTCTACCCATCAGTACCTCAACTATAAAATAGGGTTAACGATACCTACCTTGAAAGGCATTGAACGAGATGGTGCAGGTAAAGCACTCAGCACAGTGACCACCCAGGTGATCAGTCCAGGGCAGCGAATACTTTGAGGTCTGGGAGCGATTCTGGCTGGGACTGAAAAGAATCCTCCTCTAAAAGGAGAGCGCCTCCCAGGCTCCCTCTCCCCCATTCACACAGGTGCACACGCGGCCAGAAATAAATTGAGTGCCTAAGGGTGATGGGGCCCAGCCTCAGCCTGCCAGAGGCAGTGGAATGAATGAGCTGCAGCATGAATGAGAGGGGAGGCGGCTGTCTGCAAACAGGCTGCGGCTACAACTGCAGGCCCGCCGCTGCCATGGTCACTGGGGAGGGGGCTGGGGCTGAGCTGCTGCCGAGAAAGCAAGCTGGTGATGGGGAGCGCGGGGTGTCCCCCCCCCCCCCGCCCCGGCCAGGCAGGCTGTCGATAACTCGTCCTGGAGCAGGGAGGTGGGGAGGGGAAGGCTTTCTGGCCACAGCCGTCCTGAGCTCCGCTCGCCCTTCCTCCTGCTTCTCCTCACCCCCACCCCCACTCTGGGTGGAGATTCCCCCCTCTCACTTTCAGGAGGCGCTGTAGGCTGAGCCCCACACCTGTATCCAAGAGACACCTCTTGCATGGGAGTTAAGCTGAAAGGCAGCGTGTGGCAGACACACAGTTAAACCCATGACCCTTGAACACTGCTTAGAAAGACCCCCCCCAGTGCAGGCCGGGCTTCCTCCACTACTACAACACATTTCTGTCTTCCTGTTTGGCCAGATGAAGTAGTTGGTTTGCATTTCAGGACTATGATGGACGGAAAACCATGTCTCCAAACACTTTAGAGTAACAGTGAGATGTGGATCACACTTGAAAGGCACATGGGAGTCAAGGCCAGCTGAGGGAACAGCGGATTCACATCTCCTGCTCTGAGCTCAGCCCCGTTTAAATCATTTATTTCCCCTCTCTCTCCCCAGGGTTTAATCTGTGTGCCTGTCAAGTGGGCCCGCTGCACACTAGTTAAGAGGTTGCAGAATGCTTTCGTGCCCACTGATGTGTTGGACGCCCACAGGAATCCCGAGAAATAAACAGAACAGGGGTGATTATTCCCATCCAGCCAATGAGGAAACTGAGCACATTAAGAATAACATGCCCTGTTCTCTCCAGTGACTCTTATGTGTTGACCCCTCAGCCACCAACGAAGCCCCTCATTTCCTCTTTATTGCCCCTATAAGAGGCACAGGATAAACCTTAAGCAACAGATGAATTCTGCCTTGTCGCTGCAGCAGGAGGGACTTGGTTAAACTTAAATGTGGGTTTGAGCCTGAAATAAACTGCAGGAGGCAATTGAAAAAACCACCTTCCTCTGTGATTTTATGAACAGAAACTGGCATGCAGAGTTGGCCTTTGAGATGCAGGGCTAGTGGGAAGGCTGGGGAGGGGGCCCGTGTTCCTTGGAGGTTCCATCCAGCCAGGAGTCTCTAGAAGCCTTTAGGGTCCAGGGTCTGGGCACTGGCTAGCTGACCATCCACTTGAGCTGCAGCCCATGAATCAGAAATGGGTTCTGACAGCCCACGCAGAGCCAGCCACGTGACTGTGACACCATGAAGGAAGTAGGACTGTGAGTGATGGCAGCTGGCTGCTGGAAATTTCATAGATTGCTCAAATATGCAATCACAAAACATCAGAGCTGGCCTGGTCTCCACTTCCCAAAGCAAGCTCAAGCAACCCTAGAGCATCTCGATGCTAGCAGGTGTTGTGAAAGGCGAGAATTTCCAATTACAATCCAGTAAAGCTGGGGGACGCCAGGTTAAAGAGCATCAGGCAGGTGTCTTTACCAGCCCTCAGAGCCTTTAAAAAGCTAACACGGATCATGAATCTTCAAGAAGGGGTGGGTAGCAAATCCACTTGGCTTACAGGGAGTCTCCGGGGACTGATATTCTAAATCACAAATGTCAGGGACCCCTAATCTAGTCCATTCTCCTTTTCTCACTAAGGAGAAAATTGGATGCCCAGAGAGGCAGAGTGATCTGCCTGGGGCTACACAGCTGCTTGGTGCTGAGTCAAGACTAGAGTCAGAACTTGACCTCTTTCCAGTGTGCCTCTCAATCCAGAGCATGATGGACAGTCCAGGATGGGCCAGAGTACAGCAAACTGGGGCCCAGGCAAGAAAGTATCCCAGCTTTTAGTCTTTTAGCCCCTTGATAAACAAACGACTTCTGTATTGCCATGATTCTGTGTGCCCCAGCCTGGAGGCAGAGAGCACATTCTTACGAAAGGTGAGCCAATGGATAACCTCCCTCCCAAGACCCACACCCCTTTCCGAGTCTTGTTCTCAAGGCATGGAAAACCCTGGAAGTACACTACAAAGCAGCCTGTGGGTGGGCTGATTCCTCCGGGGTCAGTAAAAGAGCTACACCTGGAAGGCAGGCAGGAAGGCTCTGTGACCTGGTCACTCTGCTCCGGAGTCATCTGCGCCTCCTTGCTCAGAAGCCTCAAGCGAGAGCCCTGGCGAGGTCTGCTCCCATAGGCAGAGCTGGGGACCATTATCTGTGTGCTGAAGCCTGCAGATGTGCTGCTCCAAGATTCCTTCCTTCCCTGTCCCTGTCTCCTCCAGTTCATTCACGTCCAGCTTAGGAACCTACTGTGGGTTTGGGAAACATACATTGGCTGGGACTGAACTGAATGCCTCTGGATTAAAACATGGTGCCCCTGAGATTCTGGGGCAGCTCATCTGGTGGGGTGACCTTTTGAAGCAATGAGCCCTACTGATTCATTTAAAAAGCATCTCGGAGCAGAACTAAGTGGCTGTGGCTCAAAATAGAAAACTTTGGATAAGGAGGCCATGTGGACCAGGGCAGGCAGGAGTGAGGGTCCGGAGAGCAGATCCAGGGTCGGTATACTCAGTGGTAGAGCAGGTGCTTGGCATGCACGAGGGATGTCCTGGGTTCAATTCCCAGTACCTCCATTAAATGTGTGTGTGTTTGTGTATACACACGCACATTAATATATTAAAATATATAATATAATATGTATTATAAATATACAAATTTTTTTAAAAATCAGAGAGAGGGTCCAGAGCAGGGAGGTGTCATGAGATGGCTTGGTACCTTTGGGGTGTGGTGATGGCAATGAGGAGGGCCCGAAGATAAACTTAGTCTGCGTTGGACTTCTGTCTGGGGCTTGTGCTGCCCCTGTGACCAGATGGAGCCTGGGAAGGAGAAAAGGACAGTGACACTCCATGAGAACCATGCAGGCTCGCGGCCTGAGCGTTTCTGCCCAGCACCTCCTCAGTAGCCAGCCTGGATGTCCCCAGCCTCTTCCCAGGAGCTCAGAAAGGGCCACTCTCAGGGGCAGAGTCCACCCCATGGCAGTGCAGCCTGCCCTTGAGGAAGAGCTTTTCCCTCCCCAGCTCTGAAATGTTCTCCCCAGAGTCCAAGAAGACCATCAGTCACACGGAACACCACACAACCGGCAGTAGCCAGGAGCAAGGCGGTGCCCTGCGGGGGTTACTTTAGAACCAAATGAGAGCAATCATGAAAACTTCAACCTTCTCAGAAGGTGTTTTCTTTTCCTCTGAAAGGGTCTCAGTTACAGAAGCCAAGAGAGGAGGGGGAGGACTTTCAGGGAAAGAAGCAAAAGGCAGCAACCAACAGGCCCTACCCCACCCCGACCCCATCTCAGAGCACACTGTGGACCCCCACCACGCAGGGCACCCGGCCTTGAGGTTTCTCCACAGTCAAGGAGGGGCAGGAATGAGGTGGGGTTTCAAATCTGGGCCCCTGAGCTTTCCACGTGGCTCTGAAGATGGAACTAAATTGTTAGGGTTGAGTGTATGGGAGGAGGGGTGGGCGGGAGACAGGTTTTCTTATAGCCTCGCTGAGGCTAAGAATACTATGTTTTTAAGTTTTTTAAGAGCGGTGGGGAAGAAAGAACAGCGAGTACAGATCTGCTAATGAGGTGGCACTGCCTCCTGGAGAGCGGGCCGTCCTTCCATGGGGGCTCCAGAAGGGGGAGGGACGCACGTCCCGCTGATGGGCCAAAGCTGGAAAGAAGGCTCTCGATTGGCTCCTTACCTGGAAAGGCAGCGTCTCCAGCCCTGCTGTTCTATGGAGCGGAGAGACAGAGAGGGAGTCACACAAACGAACCCTGTTATTGGTTCCTTTTAACCTCCAACCCTTTGCCCTCATGCCCCTCACCTCCTTCTCAGCTGTGGCGTGCCCCTACCATAAGAAGCATTTGGTACAAGCCCAGATGCCAACCATTCTGATCAGTGGAAGCTGCTGGATTTGAGGTTAAGAGCCTGCAGAATGGTGTCTGGCTAAAGATAGCCCTCTCATCTTGCCCAAAGCAATCTCTGCCAGTCGGGGCTCACTGGTCTCCACTTTGTAGACTGGGCCCTTCAAGTCCATGGTCAGCCCACCACTGCGTTGCTGGTGAGTGCTCCTCTGGTCAGTGCCTGGCCCCTGAACTGCTGTGGTCCCTCAGGGCTGCTACCCTGTCAAAGGGAAGAAATCAGTACATGGGCCTGAAGATACACGGTTATACCAGCTCTGTATTCGGCTGTATCAAATGCAAAGGAATTCTTAACATTTCCTACATGTGTTTTTTATAATAGGCACTAATCATTACATAGCCAGGCTGCCCATTTGCACGCTAGACTAAAATGTGCAAAGAAAAGTTACCTTCTTTATTTCCTATAAAATCTTTCCTGTGAACTCCCACCCTACCAGGCAGCAAAAAGGGCGACAGGGAACTTTATATTTGAACTTACCCATTACAGCTTCTCAGGTTTAATAGAGTCTCATTTAGCAGACCCAGTATGTCCTCCAGGAAAACGCAGAGCCTTGATATGGCTTTTCTGCTTCCTGTTCTATTTCAAGGTGACCTTTTCTGTCGTAAGGTACTTACCGGACCTGGCTGTGGCATGGGAGAAAGGGGCCCCAGGCTTATCAGCGACTTCAGGCCCCAGTTCTCTGGGAGCTCAGCAGAGGCTGACTAGTGATGCCCGAAGTATGCCTGGTCCCTTCTGGCCCCGGGGCATTATGCTGACACCTCCCACTAAAAGCCTGATTCCAGACACTTGCTCCCACCTGAGAAGACCTGATTGTAACCATCTCTTCTCCCAGATCCCAGTACAGGTCCACTAGCCACTCTGTATCCCCTCACCAGGGCGGAGGGCAGAGGGGAGCTGATAAATGCTTAAGGTCGGGTTCTTGGAGGCGGGGGGAGGGGTGGGAGGAGCCCAGATGGTAGCCTTTGCCTGTTTCCATGGTGTAGATACTCCCACTGTGGTCCTTTCCGAGCTAACAACGTGAGGCCACCGAGCATGGAGCTGGAAGAAATAAATACGGTCAGTCATCATGAGCTGATACAGGCTGGCTCCAGCCCCACGGGCCCTGGGGAACTTCTGGAGTCCCTGCAGGTCGTGACACCATCTCGCTCATCTTCGCCCTCTCGGCCTGCCCCATGATGACTTGCCACCTGTTAAATGTGGTTGTGGTCAGAGTTTCTCCTGGGCTTATAGTCTCCCACCAGCAGGGTCCTGGGGAGCCCACCCAAGCCCACCCATTGCTGTCACCGATCTCCCCCACTCCTGGGTGGATGTTTACCCTGAGAGGGTGAAAGCAAAGATGTGTGCTTCTGACAGCCACACCCTCTGTCTCTCCATCTCCTTCTCAGGGTCCACTTGGGCCAAAAGTGTCAGTTTTTCCACACCTCTCTCCTTCCTTGTGTCACCTTCTTATTCCTAGGATCTCAAGTCCCCTCACAACTGGGACTTAACAGTAGAAAAGGTTTCCCTCTCTACCACAGAAACTGTCTTATGACATGTATCTTCCAGGTGGGGGTTACCAGGAATGAAAATACATCAGTTTAACGTAACAGAGCTCAGCCTGTTCCAGCCACACTGTCCCTTCAGTCTCTTTCCCCCTCTGCACTTTTATAAATTATCCCTTCTGCCAAAATGCCACTTCACATGTTCTATGCTTAACTGGCTTCTTCACCAACTTCCCATCTCAGCTAAATGTGACCTGGTCAGAGAGGCTCACCCTTCTTTCTAAGGAAGACCCTCCCTGATTGTCTTACAAGCTCAGGTTTTGCTCATGGTTTAACCACCCTTTGTCACTATACACCTGTTAGCTTACTTGCTCATTGCCTGGCTCCTCCGGGCTGCCGGCCCCAGGAAGGCAGGGTCATCACCTGTGTGGTCCATCTGACCACTGGGTTATACGCGGAGTACCATCAGCAAGTTTACCTTTCGATGAAATATCACGGGAACTCATTTGTCTTAAAGTGCATTGAAAAATGCTAAGTAAGACACTAGACCTAGAAGGCAGGGGGCTGGAATCCAGTGTGATACAGTGAGGGGGTTGTACATAGCTTCTATTCCAAATCTTGAAGAAGAAATCTAGAATGCAAGTGATTAGCTCTATAACCTTGGCTAGATTATCTGATCTTCAGATAATCATTCTGAATCATCCTTATAAAAGATGTGAGATCTGCTCTAACTACCTCACTAGACGCTAAGACCACTTCTCTGGGTCTCTATTTCTTATTACATCATCCAGGGTCCCAGCTGGCGACCAATGATAGACATGGCTCAACGGGGAGGGTTCACTGCAGGTGTTACTTACAGGGATACAGTCACAGTGCATATTTCAGCCCCTGGCACGTCATGGGTCTTGACTGTTGAACGAAGCTGGTGACTCCGGAACTCTCATATAAAGTCAGGACACATTCCAATTCAGATTTTTTTTTTTTTTTGGTGGGGGAAGCGGGGAGGGAAGTAATTAGGTTTATTTATTTTTTTTTTTTAGACATAGTATTGGGGATCGAACTCAGGATCTCGTACATGCAAAGCATGCACTCTAGCACTTTGAGCTGTACCCTCCCCCGCCCAATTCAGATTTTAACAAATAACTATTTTTCTAGCACTCTGCTAAATGTTGTGGGAGTTACGAGGAAACACAACGCTCACTCATCTAATATTCATTCCTTTAACCCATCACAGGTAGGAGAGAAGTTAATAGTAATGACAGGGGGAGGCAGCCGAGCTGTGACCACACGAAGAAGTCTGGTGACTCAGTAGTCTGAATAAATACCTTGGTGATCACTCGGTCTCACAAGAAACAGCTCAGATCCCCTCAAGGTGGATAGTCCCATGTCAGTCTACACATGTGTGCGTTATGTCCTTAAATGCATTTGTACAAAGTGGAGTTTCAACTCCTAGACTCTAAACTCCAGAAGCACGGGGCAGGCACAATGGGTACATAGTAGTAAAATTTGTTATTCATTTAAAGAGCAAATGGACAGAATAAGCCTGATTTTTGCCAGTTATCCAGGTTTTGCTCCTAATTCTTCCTTCTAGCTTTACATGAATGATGTGGGTATCTTAGACTCTTTTTACAACTTGTTCTCCTCCTATTTGAGAAATTAGCTGATCAGACCCTTTCTTCCCTTCCTCAAACACAGCATCCCCAGAAGCTTCAACTCTGGAGGCGATGGGTCGGAAGGAAGAAGATGACTGCAGCTCCTGGAAGAAACAGACCACCAACATCCGGAAAACGTTCATCTTCATGGAAGTGCTGGGCTCGTGAGTCCTGGGCGGAGATGGGGCGGCTGGGCTGCCAGCCGTGGGGAGCTGGAAAAGAGTGGTCCTGGGCCAATGGGGAAGGATAAACCAGGACTGAGTCTGTTGTAACACCGGCTCAGTAGCTCTGAGGGGCCTGGGGAGGTCAAACAGGGAAGCACCCCGGGTAACACAGAGGACCATCCAGCCCTGACACCCAGGTTCTACCTCCTCACCCTCCGGAGATCCTGCCCTGCTTCCAGATCTGTGACAGCTTGTGATCCTTGCCCTGGTCACAGGAAAGAGGAGTTCTGGAGCACTTCTGGAGACTCTCTGACCGCAGAATCTCCCTGGGCCCCCTCACCCAGCTTCCTCATCCCCCATCCCTAATGTTGCAGTGAACAGGTCAAACCCTTGTCTGCTATAGACTTGACGGAAGAAGGCGCTTCTAGGGCTGATGGGTTACACACACCTGAATCAGCTCCCACCACTGGCATCCTCTCTGCTCCATATTTAGGTACCATGTTGGGAAAATAAAATCACGCTGTAGCCCAAACTCCTACCAGCCTCTAGGGTGTCTGTGCCTGCCCCTTGACAGCGATTACACGGCTGGAGGAGCAGAGACATCTTGTCTGGAGCTGACTCGCCCTTAGTCCTGCCTCTCTGCCGGGGGAGGCTGCAGCCTTTGACGCAGGCTGGCAGCAGTTCTGGGCCACAGGCTCCCAGGGCCTCAGAACCCCAGCTGGTCAGCTAATTAGCCTGGGCTAATTGGGCCATGGAAGTGAGGGGCCCTTAGTGGGCTGTCCAGTCAAGCAAGCTTTCATTTTAGCCAGCTCTGGCTAAATTTAGCTCCCTCTGCCTTGGCTGGGAGGCGGTGACCTCAGGCAGTGAAGGCTGCCCACACGCTCACTGGAGCCGGGGAGGAGATGGCTGGGCCCTGAGCGGTGGCCTCGGAGCCCTCCCATCGCAAGCCAGGGTGACACTCAGCACGCAGGAGGGTCTCTGCAGCTGCCCTGGCATTGAGCATCAGCCTTTGCCAAGACAGGGGTGGCCCAGGAGGGGGTTAGGCAGGAGAGGGAGGCAATGCTCAGGACTGAATCGGAAATGATTTGCTAAAGCATCCCAAAAATGAAGAGCAGGAGGGAGAAAGAAGCCCAGGTTGACAAGAGTGTATTCACCATCTGTTTAGACTTGTGTTGGAGCGCACACCCCCCTCAAGGAGCTCAGTGAAGCAGCTTCTAAACCTAGGGGGACAGCAGAGTCCCCTGGGGAGCTCATGCCTCTATCTTCCAACTGTGAAAGAGTTTAAGTAAAGAAAAGGTACGCTCATAGTGCAGTGGACACCAATATCCCCACCACCTGAATTCGACAGTTATTGACATTTCACTGTATTTGCTTTACACACACACACCTTGCTGAGCAATTTGTAAACAAGTTGCAAACATCATGACACGTTGCCTCTGAATCCTTCTGTTTGCATCTCCTAAGAATAAGGGCATTTTCTTCTGGATCCACAATATCATTGTCTCACTCAAGAAAATTAACGATTCCCTGAGATCATTTCAGTCTAGGGAATTCCGGAAAATTCCAGGTTTCTGGTCCCAGACTACTAAAGCAGAATTTAAGGAGCCAGGACCCGGAGGCCATGAATCAATTTTAAGTGCTTCTGATGGCTCTAATGTATCCAGCCCAACACTGATTGGAGGGGAGCAGGCAGACACGACTGGGGGCAAGTCACAGCCAGAGAGAAGGCACCTCTGTGGTGCTCAGGACGAGGACAGGCAGCCCAGACTGCAGACCCCAGAGGGTTTCCCAGGTGGCGTGCTGTGGAGAGGAGACAGTTGCACACAGTTGCCTCCCCTGTTCAGGATATACACCAGCATCCCCTAACAAAGGCCCATTTTCTCTAGTCCTCAGCTCCTCTGGGACAACCTACCAGGGAAAATAGCCTTTTGCTAAATCTGCCCAGATGCCACCCACAATTCCAGGGCCCTGGGCAGCTGTAGGGACTCTGGGCAAAACTAGTCCATAACAGAGCTACGTCACCCAAGTCCCGGGCCTCCTCCTTTCACTGCCCAGGAAAAGATCTCGCTTCTTGGTTCTCCCCTCCTCCTCCTCCATCCAGGCTCCCAGCAAGAGCAGAGAGCTCTGCAGAGCAGGACACACAAGTCAAGTTCTGTTAGAGCAAGCGCCCCTGACTCTGAGGCCTCTGCCTGTCTTGCCTTCTGACCCGAGCAAGCTTGGCTGCTCAAAACTAGCTCGCTGCTCCCCGGTCTGACAGATGGCACAACTAAGTCTTCCAATTCCTCTCCTGTGCTCCTGCCACACACCCCAAACACACACACACACACACACACACACACACAAAATGCAGAGGGCAGCCTGAGGCAGGACAGCACCACACGCTACAGCGTAAACCATCCCCCAGGAAGGTCTGAGCTTGATCTCATTTTACAAGTGAGCCCAGAGTGGGTGTCAGCTCTGAAATCAGGGGACCATCTATGTGTGGTTCGAAAGATGCAGGTGAAAGGGAAAACTCTGAAGGGGGGATCCTAGAAAGTCACAGGTGGAAGGAATCTCTAAGGTCAAGTGGTTCAATTCATTTTAAGACAAGGAAAGCGGGGTCTAAAGATGAGTAGTTGGGGGGAGAGTTTAGCTCAGTGGTAGAGCGCATGCTTAGCATACACGAGGTCCTGGGTTCAATCCCCAGTACCTCCATTAAAAATAAATAAATGAATATAAATAAACCTTACTACCTCCCTACCCAAAAAAAATTAAAAAAAAAAGAATGAGTAGAACGGACAGCCCATTCCAACAAAAAACAAAATCCCATTCCAACCATCCATCCATCCATCCATCCGTCCATCCATCCATCCATCACACAGACACTTGAGCACTTTCCATATGCAGCTAGGCAGAGGACCTGGTGCTGGTCCACATTCGCCTCCCTTCATTCCCTGCCTCACAGCAGGTGCCGGACTGCCCGCAGCAGCCCCATCCCTACCTGCTGTTCCATGCCTCCAGGCTTTTTCTCAAGCTTCTGCCCCACCCCAACCTGCAACATCACTTCCAACTTGTTTTTTCACCGGGGCTAACTCTCATTCATCTCTTAAAACTGAATTCAGCGTGTTCTTAAGTTGGAGGTCCGTGAAAGATGTGCTTCTCAACCATTCCAAGTGGTCACTTGTATACATGAGGAAAAGCACCCTTTTCTCTAGCTTGCTGTGTAAAGGAAAGATGTTATAACAAGTATGGAAACATACAGACTCCGAGGGGATGGGCATCTCCTGGAATCACGCAGTGTGTAACCTGCCCGAGCATGGCAGAGGCCCTGTCTTAAGTGTCTGTTTTCTGTGGTCCCATAAGCCTTCCCGCTGATCTGTGTGTGTCTATCTCTCACACTAGAGTCTAAACTAGACCAACCCTAATCCCAGTACCTAACACAGAGAGGCTCTGTCAGCCCAACAGGTGCTCTTTGAATGCCGAGTAACGTTTTTCAAAGCACACGTTAATTGCTCTCTTGTCCATGTTCTTCACTAAGTCTGCAGGTTCCTTAGGAGCAGAAACACTTACCTCTTTCTCTCCAGTGTCTAAGACTCAGTAGGTGCTCAATAAATCTTGATTGGAGGGACGAGTGAGTGAATGAATGAATGGAGCAAGCTCTAAAGGCTCTGATTAACTCAGTTCCAAGTGCAGCTGGGGAAAACAGGAAACTCAGACACAGGAAGCACCAAGCATTTTCTCATGCAGATTCTGGAAGTCCTTACACAGGCTTGATTGCTGTCGGGCCTCCACGCTAGAAAACCCAGCTGGCAGGGAGGAGGATGGTGCCGCTATTTCTCACTCAAGCTCTGTCTCCTCTTGTTACTGCCAGATGTTCTCCCTAAGGGTATTCATATAATGATAGTAATAATAACATTGATCAGATCTAGCATGTACAGTTTACTAGATGTCAAAAACGCTTTTATGCACTTTGTATATAAATTAACTCATGTCCTCTCCTGAACAACTGTATGGATCAGAAACTACTGATACTCCCACTTTTCAGATAAAGAAACTGGGTATATAGAAGCCAAGTGTCTTGTTACCTAAAAAGCTGAGGTTATAACGTGGGCAGTCAGGCTCCAGCATCCTCCACTATCTAACTGCCGTTCTGATGATCTGGTCTCCAGAGGATCCCCTTCAAACCAAGAATCCTACAGTTTGGAATCCTACCCTGTATTCCCATTGGGTTCCATTCTCTCCGTCTTCAGACAGCCCGCCCAGAGCTGCTGGGTTCTGTCTTTTGTCCTCACAGATCCTACTGGGTGAGAGGGTGTTCAGCCCCCTTGCCTCTGAGCGTTGGTTCAGGGCAGTTATCACCATCTAGAGCTGATACAGAAGTCCCCTCTCTCTCACTGCCGGAGCCCTGTTCTCCAGGGCTACTTCCAGCTGCCACGCAGTGTGCCACGCTGCACCACGTTGGGAGAAGCAAAGTAAATCAACTCTGCAGTAGCCTCTCTTTCATGGGTTTGCCAAGTGGAGACATCTCTGGAGTAGAAGCAGAGTTTCTGGGAATCGTTCCCAAATCATGGAATTCGGAAACGGGCTTCCCAGTCCCTGAGTCTGTGGTAGGATCTTGTCTCTCCCACGTGATGCATGAAAGACACGATGGTTTGCCTGATAGGGTCTCGCATGGATGAAGCTCATCAGATGCCCATAATGACAATGAAACCGATTACCAGCCACACCTTCCCTCCTGTCCCCTTTGCTCTTGCCTCCAGCACTGGTCTCTAGCCAGCCAGTACTAACTTTTATCTCTTGGTGTCTTCTACTCAGAGGAGCTTTCTCAGAAGTTTTCCTGGTGAAGCAAAGGGTAACTGGAAAGCTCTTTGCCCTGAAGTGCATCAAAAAGTCACCTGCCTTCCGGGACAGCAGCCTGGAGAATGAGATCGCTGTGTTGAAAAAGTGAGTGGGTCCTAGGGCGGGTCGAGGACAACTGTGGGATGACAATATTTCCTTCTCAATTACCTTCAAGAGGGACTGGGGCAGGATTTCCACCCCAAAAGGTATTACTCCCTTTGTTTGAGCTGATAGGTCAGTTGGATCCATCAGCTATGTTTAGCCAGATAGTAGCTGTCTTGGCTGATTTCTTTTCTTTTCTTTTTTTTTTTTTCCTTTTGGCAGCAATTTGAGTAGTGAACAAATGGTAGCAGAGCTGGTTGTGCACATAGACCACAGGGTAACTAGCTGAAAGGAACGAAAATCAGCTAAGGAAAGAATCAATAATGAAAGATGCAGAACAAGATTTGGAAATTTAGCCTTAAATTGTTCCAAAGCAAGTGTAGTTTCAGCACCCCAGCTGTCCTGATGGAAGTTATGCTAATAAACCATCAGGTGTTTATAGCAGGGACTCATACAACGAATCCTTATGGAACCCCTCTGGTGATGCCTAATACTGGCATCAGGACCACAACAATGAAGCTGACAAAATTCTTTACCCTCAGGAGCTTACTTTTTTGTGAACAGAGACGGTGGTGCCCATAACAGACATCAGTCCCATTGGAGGTGAGCCACGCTGGCAAAAGGCAGAACTTGGAGGAGACAGAGATTTGTGCTGCCTGTATGTTTTTTCACAAGTGTGGATTTTAAGTACATTTTCAAAGAAGAGAGACCTTGATGGATGAGTAGAATTTTGTAGAGGTCGGAGTCAGGCTGAGTGTAGCATAAACTTTTATAGAATCATGGAAGGGCAAGCAATGTTAGGGAAGAGTGACCATTGGAAGCCCCTGAACTTAGAGTGAGTGCCATCAAGGGACAGGAGATGAAACTAAAATGGCCAAGTGGGACCTGATAATAAAGGGTCTTGGATGCCATGATAGACAATGTTAACTTCATTCTGTGGGCAGAGCAAACTCATCAAAGAATTTTAAGTAAAAATTCCCACGATCAGACTTATACTTTAGAGCCAACAGTCTCAAACATGGTGAAGGATGGATTGGAGGATGTGAGCCTGGAAGACAGTAGACCAATTACAAGACTTTCTCAATAATCGAGGCAAGGATAAGGAGGCGAGCGAAGGTAGTGGCAAGATCATGTGGTGGCAGCTAGGCTGGATTCAAGAGTTATTTCAGAAAAAGAAGTGATTGGGTTTGGGGTTGGCTGGTAAGAGTGTAAAAGAGAAAAGCATAAAAAAGACCCTGAGGTTGAGCAGTTCTGTAAACAGTAATATCATTGCTTGTGATGGTGTACAGAAAGGATGTGTAGGCTTAGAGGAAATAGAGATTGGTTGTAACATATTCAATATACATATCCATCTATCTCTACCTAGAGGCGTCTGGTAGGATGTTGAGGATGTAGGTCTGGGCTCCAGGGAGATTAGGGTGGAGAGAGACTGTAAACTCACTGAGAGCCAGGACTAGGTTGGTCTTTCTTTATCGCTGCATTGCATCACCGATCCCTAACAGCATAGACACTCAATAAATACTTGTTTGGTGATTAAATCACAGAAAAATTCCTGTTAGCATTACAGCTTATCGGTGTAGTTGAATCCATCAGATAATCACTGCTTGGGGTCTGTATTTTTTAAAATATCTTAAAGATGCTAGCTACTGTTGATTGTGTTTACTTTCCCCGGACACTGTACTAAGCATTTTACGTGCATTATCTCCTTTAATCCTGGTAACATTCTGTGAGAGAGATTTACAGACTCTAAGTGAGGCTCAGGAGACTTGAGGAAGCCAGCCCGGGTTACCCAATTAGTAAGTGCCTGAGTCCCATCTGAACTCAGGCCCAGCTGACTCCGAGTCCAAGTGGTGAACCCCTGTGCTGCACGCCCATGAGTGAAACTTCCAAGAAGCTTCCTCCTGCTCGGGCATGCACAGGGTTGCTGTCCGGAAAGCCAAGCTCCTCAGCTCATATGATTATTCTGTTGGCCTCAGTGCTATTGACTTTTTTTTTTCATTTTTTTAAATGGAGTTACTGGGGATTGAACCCAGGACCTTCTGCATGCTAAGCATGCACTCTACCACTGAGCTATACCTTCCTCCATCCCCCTACATTTTAGACCAGAGAATTCTTTGTTGTGTTGAGGGCTCTCCTGAGCATTGTAGGATCTTTAGCAACATTTCTGCCTCTACCCACTAAATGCCAGTAGCATGTCTCCCCTCCCTGGTTGTGACCATCAGAAGTGTCTCTAGATACTGTCAAATGTCCCCTGAGAGAAAAAATAGCCCCTGCGCAAGAGTCACTGATCTCAGGCATCCCACAGAAGTGACCCTCACAACAAGCTTCTGTCTTACTTCTCACAATATCCTGGAACAATACTTTTGCAACACTTCCTCCATGGTTACCCAAGAGGAGGCTTAGCTAACCCAGCGCCTCCTGTTGTGGTACACTTCCTTCATGCCATTTTTCTGAAGATCTGGCCTCCACCCATTTTGTGGGATAACCTGGGGATAGATGCTCCCTTAGACTCCCTCAGCTCTTTTTTTTTTAATTGAAGTATAGTCAATTTACAATGTCATGTCAATTTCTGGTGCACAGCATAATAGTTCAGTCATACCTACACATACATATATTCGTTTTCATGTTCTTTTTCATTATAGGTTACTACAAGGTACTGAATATCGTTCCCTGGGCTACACAGAAGAAATTTGTTGTTTATCTATTTTATATATAGTAGTTAGTGTCTGTAAATCTCGACTCCCAATTTATCCCTTCCCATCCCCTTCCCCCCTCCTCCGGTAACTGTAAGTTTGATTTCTATGTCTGTGAGTCTGTTTCTGTTTTGTAAGTAAGCTCATTTGTCTTTTTTTTCAGGTTCCACATATAAGTTCTTTTAAATCTCAGTTCTTTTAACATTCTCTTTTGGTAAAGTTTAAAGAGATTCCTGGAGTAACAGTGAGATGTGTGTTCCCTGAAGGCAAGAGGATGAATTATCCATTTCAAAATATGGATTAAACACCATTTGGGGAATCTCTCCCCTGACTGCCTACTTATTAGGAAGGCTTCACAAGGACCCGATCTTCCTAAACATTGTCATCAAAAGTCTCTAATATAAATAAAAGTCCAGCAGGGCTGGATCTGCCTTCTTTATCTGGACAGCCTGAACCGTCTACCTCTCACCACGACCCTTGCTTTCCCTCAGGATCAAGCATGAAAACATCGTGACCCTGGAGGACATCTATGAGAGCAGCACTCACTACTACCTGGTCATGCAGCTGTAAGTGACAGGTGACCCGCTTCCTCTCCCCAGGGCCCCTGGGTCGGTGGTGAGGGAAGGAAGGTGCTGAAAAGACAAAGCACGATTTAACTCAGGAGGCTCTGAAATGCTAAGAGCTCTTTCTGGTTCAATTAACAACAGGCTGCAATTGTGTGTATGTGTGCGTCCAAGTGTAGGGCAGAAACGGTGCCTCATTAGAAAGGGCTCCATGTCACTGTCATCAGAGTTCTGCCTGAGAGTGGCTGCTGTAGGGCTGGTCAGTGCTCTTGAGGGCTCAGCCTTGGGCTCAGAGATGCTACTGTGTATAAAATACATGTATAGTCACTCACACACACGCGCGCATCCATCTGCAAGCTCAGCGTAGCTGGATGCAATGTCTTTGACCGATGGGTTAATTTCACAGAAATTGTAATGAGCTAATGCAGGCTATTAACTCCTGGGCTCACCGGAGGCCCAGTGAATAGTGGTAGCAAGCAGCCAAGGAAATAAGCTTGGAGGGGCCCAGAGCAGCACTAACAAGTGAGCAAGGACCCTGTGGCACCTTAATGAGGCCAATGCAACAGGATTAGCACACAGTCACCCAGATGGCTAAGGGGAGGGAGAAAGGCGTGCAGGTTTAGATGTCACTGAAGTTCTGTAAAGACTCCCAGGCCTCTCTGAGTCAGGAATTCAGACTTGTGTACAAAGAGTATCTCTCTCATGGGCCTCCAGCTCCCACAGCAGAGCCCAGAGCTTCAAGACAGAAACAAAAGGAGCAGGATGTGTGCATTTTGATTGGAGAAATTCTACTCCCTTATTGCTGCATGGTGCTGTCATGTGTGCATTTCCACAACCAATGCCACCTGCAGTTACTACAGGAAGTTGAGTTCCTTCATGATATATAGAAACATTAAGAAAGTGACAAAAGATGAAACAGTCTGTCTTGGGAGGGAGGGAGTTCTCTGCCACTGGTATTTTCCGGTACTGACTAGAAAACTTGGCAAAAATAGTGTAGATGACGTTCGAGAGATGGATGTTGGACTTGATCTTAAAGCTCCTCTGAATCCTCAGATACCATACCATTTAAGCCTCAGAACACTACTCTGACAACACTACTATGACTCCACCTCGTAATGCCAGCTTTAGGCAGCTCAGCTTTCCAAAATGAGGAAAGAAATCCTGACATGAGCACAGTTAGCCTCATTTGCACACTTTCTCTTTCCTACTTCGTCTGATTTCAGCTTCACCTCTCCCTTTCATCATGGTTTCCTGTGTCCCAGGCCAGGAAAGAAGACAGCTAAGAAACATGTCCCCAGGAAAGGATTATTGGCTTCTTGCAAAACCCTAATCAGAGGCATTATGCATTTTAAAGGAAGTTACCAGGGAGAGGTCAATGGTTGGCCCAAAGAAATAACTCCCTAGTGATATTCCAGGTACCGAAAGGCTGCATTCTGAGATTGGGTTAGTCCTCTCTGCACCCCTCAAATCACAGCCTGCGGGCACCTGCCTGTTTAGCCACAGCTGTGCCCCATGGCTCCAGAATAAACACATTCATGTCCCTTCGGCCTGAAATAAGAACTGAATTCCTGCACTTGTCCCTGTGCCCACAGTGTTTCTGGTGGGGAGCTCTTTGACCGGATTCTGGAACGGGGTGTCTACACAGAGAAGGATGCCAGCCTGGTGATCCGGCAGGTCTTGTCGGCAGTGAAATACCTCCACGAGAATGGCATCGTCCACAGAGACTTAAAGGTGCCAAGGCGGGGTCCTCAATGGGAAATGGCAGTGACCTTGGAGGAAGCTGCATGGGTGATGGGCAGTCTAAGCTCTGTAAAATGAGAGGGTTGGACTTACTGATCCCTAAGGCCCCTTTCACCTTCAGATTCTAAAACAAATTTTGAGTTACTGAACCATCTGTATTAATTTGCACCTCAGCCTTCTCCTGAACTTTTCACTAGGTCTCACCCTATTAGGATACCAAGATCATCCACATGTTTCTCGAACCCAGCCACAGTAATGGACAAATTTAGTAAGTTATTACAGAGAGGCAGTGTTGCACCAGGCAGGTACCAGACTTTAGAGAGATTAGAGAAGATAAACTAAGGGTTGTTTCCTTCAGGAAACAAAATAACCTTAGGGTACTTGGGGACGAGAAGAGGGAAGGGTTAGTACATTAACTATAACTAAGCTAACTATATAACTATAAGTAAGTTAGTACATTAACTATCAAGCTAAGTAAAGGCAGGGCCAAAAGCAAAATACAAGGTGCTGGATTACAGAGGGTGAAGGTCCTCTGGACGAAGGAGGGAAGAATGGAGGGACATGAGTCTGACCTTGAAATTAGGAGCGCAGGACGCAGCTTCCTAAGAAATCATATACTGGGGGAAGGAAAGAGATGCATTTTTAGGTGATTATATCCAACATTACTTGATATTTCTTTTCTCCCATAGCCTGAAAACCTGCTGTACCTCACCCCTGAAGAGAATTCTAAGATTATGATCACAGACTTTGGTCTCTCCAAGATGGAACAGAGTGGTGTCATGTCCACTGCCTGTGGGACCCCAGGCTATGTGGGTGAGTATGGGACTGGAAGGGAGGTTCACCAGTTGGCTACATTCCACCACATGGATGTTACTCACAGAGAATTATTGTGAGGAGACCAGGTTCCATTTCAGGGATGATCCTGGTAGAACAGTCACTCATGAGGTTCAGGGCCAGCCAATGCATCTGGAACAACCCCTACTGCTCCCAAGTCCTGCATCTTTAAACACATTCTTCTCCTGAGTCCCCTTACCCCATCTGTACTCTGGCTCTCACTCTTGCAGATAGACCTCCAGCCTTTGTCTTTCCAGCCAGACCAGGGGCAGAAACAAGATCACAAGTCCAGAGATCAGTAGATTGCTGAGCGGTTGCGCACTAGCCCCTTCTCCTTTCTCCCAGTCCAGAGGAGATTTTAGCCCCCCACCCCCTAATTGTTGATATCCTGGAGGCATAGTGTTGAGCCTGGATCTGAAGAACTCAGCCATAGGCCCCAAATATATACCAAGGAAATGCCCTAGGAAACTGGCAGAGGTGGAGCCTCCTACCTAACAGCCCTGTAGGCTTCCAGAGCCCCCAAAAAGGTGAGAGTGGGCAGGGTACCAGGAGGGAGAATTCCTGGGATCCAAGGATGGAGAAAGTCAAAACTCAGAGCATCCACTGCTGCCCCTTCCCTCGTAGCCACTCATCACCGGGTGAGGGCTGGGAGTGGGAGGCAGAACCCTGACCCAGCGGAGGGACTCTCCTCTCTCCCCAAAGGAGAAGTTGGTCACTTACCAGCAGGCACTGAATCCCGCTGGATACAAACCCCTGGTATCTGGGATACATAGAGAAGGCAGCTCTCTACTGCCCCAGAGCAACCCGTCAGAGGAAGAGGCAGCTCGTTCCCTCACAGAGCTCTTGATCCGAAGGGCCAGACTAAGTTCTGCCCTCAGAAGGTAACAGAGCTGATGGGGCAGCTACTGCCTGCCCTCTGCAAGTGCCTCAATTAATGAAACGTCTGCCTTCAAGGACATCCCAGTCCAGTGGGAGAGAGATTCCCGGCTGAAAGGAGACACACGGTCCCTGCCCTGGGGGGCCCCCATCTGAAAGGGGAGACACAGGCCCTGCCTCCAGAGAGTACTCAGTCTAATGGGGGAAACATAGCCCTGGAGAACCCCGTCTGATGAAGGAGTCCTAGGCCCTCTCATGGGGGAACTTCCAGTCTGATGGAGGAAGATCTAGTCTGCTGGGAGAAACCCAGTCCCTTCCCTGCAGGAGTTTCAGCCTCATCCTAACCTTTGGCCCTCACCCTCAGCCCTCTCCTCTTGCCCCCAGCCCTGACTCTGCCTTTGGTTTGCTGCAGCTCCGGAAGTGTTGGCCCAGAAGCCCTACAGCAAGGCTGTGGATTGCTGGTCCATCGGCGTCATCACTTACATATTGTGAGTAGAAGCTGGCACTGGCTCAGTTCCTGAGCAATCTCAGAGCCTGCTCACCCTTCCTTCTCCCTTCTCTGTCTCAGCTCCTCAAGCAGCATCCACCTCCAAAGCATGTGCCAGTACACGTGCGCACGCACACACACACACACACACACACACACACTTACTCATACACACAGCACCAAATGTTCTTATCTTGATCTCCACCAGGTTATAAAAACAGAGCTCAGTGTGAACCCACTGCTCAGCTGCACGACACTGTTTCTTCCTGCAACCCCACCCCCATGTGCTGGATATAAATGTATTGAGTCCCACTCTGTGGAGTGAGCAGTGCAACAGGCAGAGGCCAAGCCAAGCTTGGAAGCCAAGCGGGCAGGATGTTCACGTCTCAGATTTCTCTCCTGGCAATGTCAGCCCGAGGCAGAATGATGGTCTGGATGAACCTGGTCTCTGCTCCTCTCCGCATGTTCCCAGGGTCTTCCTTCCAAACCTGCTCACCACCCCTTCCCCAGCAGCCCTTCCCACCTAGAGCAAACTTCACTCTTAGGAAAATAACTTGGGATTCTTCATTGACTCCTTAGTTCGTTTCCCTATTTCTTCAACTTGTGTTTTATAACTATTGTCTTCATCTACTCAACAAATATTCACTGTCCACTCTGTGCCAGTCAGTGGTTTAGGTACTAAAAAAATGATAAACAAAAGAGCCTAAAAAATTCCTCAGGAAACTTACATTCAAGTGGACGTTCTACCGTCCTTCTTAAAGATGTTTTATGCATCATCCAGGAGTCAGGGGAGGTACATGGAGAAGCAGCGAGGGCTTAGGGGAGATCATGTGCAAAGCGGCCTTTCAGGGCTGCCTGGTCGAAGCAGGCTTCTGCAGAAACACTTGATGGAAACTGCATCTTTCCTGAATCAGAAGCAGATCCGTGTCCCGGTCACGCTGCTGCTCGGGGCCCCTTGTTGCCTGGCCGTGGACATAGCGTGAGGCTGGACAGAGGGGAGAGGCTGGCCCAGGGAAGGTGGGCTCCTTCAGCGGCATACCTGCTTCCTGTCCCACTGCAGGCTGTGTGGGTATCCCCCTTTCTACGAAGAAACTGAGTCTAAGCTTTTTGAGAAGATCAAGGAAGGCTACTACGAGTTTGAGTCTCCATTCTGGGATGACATTTCTGAGTCAGGTAAGACCGGTGCACGTGAAGGACAAAATAACAGGCTCCAGGCAGAGGCTGCCGAGGGAAAAGAGCTCAACAAAGGATGACAGCCCTGGCTCTTGAAAGTCCCCGGGGAACCTTAGCGAACAGGTCTGCCAGGGAAAGTTGGAGAAATCTTCATCTGGTTCAAAGGCCAAGTAAATGGTTTGTATCTAAGGTTCGTGCTTTTGTTTTCCCGGAGACAAAACCACACTGTGCCCGGTAAAAGCGAGGGAGGTAGCTCAGATGAGGGGCCGGGAGGGCAGAGCCAGCCACAGGGGCGTGTTCCAGGCAGGAGTGGCGACCCAAGGCCGAGTTTTGCCTCTTTCATCCCAAGACCAAGAGCGTGCGACGTCTGTGTGTGGGAAGGCCAGCATTCATTACATGCTGTCGGGTCCATTACGTGGAGATCAGAGCTGGGAGAAGCCAGCGCTCACCCATGGAGGTGCTGGCCCTGAAGGTGCAAACGGGCACCCGACGGGCCTCAGGCACGTCGGCGCCTCGTGACAAGAGCTTATCTGTGATGCTGTGTGGGTGAGGCTGCCCAGAGCCTCTCTGGTGCTTTGTGGTGGGTTGCTGTTACGTGGTTTGGATTTTTTTTTTCTCTTTCAAGACTCTTAAAATTGCGTCTTTGGAAGATTAGCTAAAGATGCTTTTGCTGCCACCCACGAGCCTGGAAGTGAATTTCCATGTCATGAAACCTGGTCCTTAGCTGCTATGTCTTTGCTTTGTCCCCCTTAGCCAAGGATTTTATTTGTCACTTGCTGGAGAAGGACCCGAATGAGCGGTACACCTGTGAGAAGGCCTTGAGGCACCCCTGGTGAGTGCGGAACTGGGCGGGCCCTAGACCCCAGCCTGTGGCTCCCCAGGTACCACGCTGACTTGTTCACAATGTGTTTCCCCGGCATCTGAGCTGTTTCCTGTCGAGGCATCCAGGGAGCACAGACCTGCTCACCAGGTCCAGTTAGAGATGCAAACAGCATTGAATTACGTGGGTTCTGGCCCAATGGCGGCAGCTTGGTCATCAGTTGAGGAGGCAGATGCAGCGAGACAGGCAGCTTTGTTCTGTCCTTAGGGGCATTATTTTACTCTAGGGTCAAAGCCTCTTCCATGCAAGGTGCTTTGAGAACAAGCACAAAGCAACCAATTGGTAAAGCAGGTACATAAAGTCTTGAAACACTTCCTTTTCCTCAGGCTACACCCCTGCTCAAGAATTTACAAGTTCCCCAGTTCCCACCACAGCAGGCCTAGGGTTTCCCTAATCTGGCCTGATCTGTTACTCCAATGCCATCGCTCAGGGTTCCCAGCACACCTTCTCTGTCCCAGAAGGCCTAAGGGCTACAGTTCTCTCCCGGCCCTCCCCCGCCTCCTATGCCAAGCTCTTTCCACATCACACCTTGGCTCCAGCCATTGTCACCACCTAGAATGGCCTGCCCCCTACCTTGGATGTGGATCCTGAGCAGGTTCTGCCTTTCTCAGAAGCCCTGGCCCTTGCAGTCCAGGCAGACCTCCCCATCCCTCCATGTCAATTGCACCGCTCACCGTGAATTACTCTAGTTCATGGCATGAAACAAGGTTCCAGACCTATACTGTTAGGCCCTCGTGATCAGGGCCATGCCTGTTACTTCTCTGGGTCCCTCAGTACCTGGGAAGTACTATGTTCATGGCAGGTGTCTGAGGGACACTTAGAGGTAGGTGGGTAAGAGGCTAAGGGGACAGGAAGAGGGCAGCTTGTGTTGGGTGGCCTCACCGACAAGGGTTTTCAGGAGGAGGTGGGGGTTCCAAGCAAAGTTTTGAGCCAAAGGATGGTGATCACCCAAATGCCCTCTGGCATGGGGGTCAGTAGGAGATATTTGAGGCTTTGCTGGTCATATGTTCTCTAGGGCAACTGCTCAAGCGGCTGGCGCAGCAGGGAAGCCACAGAGCCCACAACTGAAGGGGTGGGTATGTCTGTGTCCCAGGGTGAAAACAGGCAGTGAGTACAGGCCATAGGCTGCTGATTCTGCTCTAAAGCAAGGTTTTGGTTTTGCTGAAGCATAGGCCCCCAGTGACCTGCCCCAGGGAAAGAGGAGTCCTGGTCCCAGCCCTTCCCTGCTAAGGGCTGCCCTCCCCTGGGGGGCTCCACTCAGCTCAACCTGGACCCATATCCACAGCCCCATGCCCAACGCCTGGCCGACTCCCTGGAGTCACCACCAGCCTGGTGTCCCCTCTGTGCCCACAGGATTAACGGAAACACAGCCCTCCACCGGGACATCTACCCATCAGTCAGCCTCCAGATCCAGAAGAACTTCGCCAAGAGCAAGTGGAGGGTAGGTGGTCCTCTCTGGGAGGCGGCAGGCTGTCTGGGCCCTGGAGGCTGGGCTGGGGCAGGTGGGATAGGGGCCTTCCTTGGAGCTTCCTGGCAGACACTGAAGCTCTCAGGACCCTCTTTGAACTGAGAAAAGGGCACATGGGTTTCAAGAGGCCACAGGGCAGAGGGCAAGCCAGAGGATGCGCTGGGCCCTCCGAGGATGCACAGGCAGAGGCTGGTTCGTGTCTCCTTAGCAAGCCTTCAATGCGGCGGCCGTGGTGCACCACATGAGGAAGCTGCACATGAACCAGCACAGCCCGGGGGTCCGCCCGGAGGTGGGGAACAGGCCGCCTAGCATGCCAGCCTCCGAAGCCTTGAGGCCCAGCTCCCCGGAGATCACCATCACCTCGGCACCTGCCCTGGACCAGAGTGTGGCGCTCCCCGCCCTGCCCCGCCTGCCCTGCCAGCACGGCCCCCGGCCCACTGCCCCAGGAGGCAGGTCCCTCAACTGCCTGGTCAATGGCTCGCTCCGCATCAGCAGCAGCCTGGTGCCTATGCAGCAGGGGCCCCTGGCCATCGGGCCCTGTGGCTGCTGTTCCAGCTGCCTGAGCATCGGGACCAAAGGGAAGTCCTCCTACTGCTCCGAGCCCACACTCCTCAAAAAGGCCAACAAAAAACAGTATGTATTTTTCAGCCAAAGCCCGAGGCCTGGCTCTGCTCAGCCTGGGTCTGCAAGAACTCAGGCAATGGAGCTGAAAGAAATTAACCAAAGGGCTTCTCCCCCTCAGAGGCAGCTCTGTAGGGTGTAAGGGCTCTGGTTGGGGGTAGAGGGTAAAGGGAAATGCTTCCAGTCCTGTCCCCACCCCTCACCAGCTGTGTGGCCACTGTCTTTTCAGTCTATATCTCTGTTTTCCATTTGCTCATCTGTAAAATGGGTTGATGAGATTATACGCACCTGCTCAGCCTGCCTCACAGAGGTCCTGTAAAGTTTTGGTGAAGCAACAGGGATTATAAACACCTGCAGAAAACGTTATATGTGAATGGTGGGCGTAGACTCCTCGAGTTTCCAGGGCTTCTGTGTTTGTAGGGGGAGCGGGGGGCTTGGATGTCTCGTCCATTCTCGCTGTTAGGGCTCCACTTTCTGAAGCTCATAAAGGAGGGGGCGGGGCTGAGCGGATGCAGGCACAGGAAACTGCCCTGGCTCTTCCTCCCTCAAATGCTCCAGAGCCTGCTGCTCGTTTCCTTTCCAGGAACTTCAAATCGGAGGTCATGGTGCCAGTGAAAGCAGGAGGCAGCTCCCACTGCCGGGTGGGGCAGACTGGAGTCTGTCTCATTATGTGATCCCCGGCGCCAATGCCTGTGTCACCGCAATTTTCAGGTGAGCGGACTGGAGGCAGGAGGGCCGGGGGTGAGGAGCGTCCGTTTCAGTAGGAAAGACCCGTCCCAGAGTCTCAAGGATGGGGTCCTGGGGGTCCCAGAGGCTGCGGCCCCACCCCCACCCTGAACCCCTTTCCTCTGCAGGAGAGATGCTCAACTCTGCCCTTCCAAACCTGGAGTCTACCCTGCAGCGGGAGGAAGGGGGAGCAAGCCAAGCAGGGGCTGATCAGGAGCAGCAGGCGGCTGCCACCTGGGGCAGAGCCTCACTGACGGCCCAAGAGTGAGCCCCCCGCAGCGGCGTGGCGGCCTCGCTGAAGCTGTGGGCGGGAGGAGCGGCATCCCAGCTTCCAGGTCCCCTGGCCTGCCTGCTCTGTGCCCCCTCCCCTACGTGCTGTGGCTCTGTGCAGTGTATGTAGGTAGCTCTTGCCCAGATCTGTGTCATTTGTCGTGAAAAGCTTAATGGGCTGGCCAGGCTGTGTCACCTTCTCCAAGCAAAGCCATACAGAGCATCTATCTACCCAGACTCCCCGCTCAGCGCACCTCCCTCCTGACTCTCCGGCCTCTGATCCCATGGCCAGAATGACCTGCCCACCTGCATGAAGGCGAGGCAGCTTCGTGGTCTGCCTGTGAGCTCTCCAAGTTCAAATCCCAACTCCAGGGTGAGCTCCCAACCCGGCCAGCCTCCTCCCACACACTGCTGACCCGCCTCCCTCCCTACCCTCGTCCAAGAGCAGTACCAGCTCCTCCAAGATGAAAAGAAAGGAAACCCACGACAAGGTCCCGTAAGGAATGGTTATCCTGGCCAGATGCCCTCCACGCACACACTCAGTGAAGGGACAATGGGAAGCCGACTGTTCATTTCAGCCAGTAATTCTAATCCTGCTTCTGCTCCCTGTTCTCCCTGAAAATCAGGCACAAGGTTCTTGTCCTTCCCCAGTTTTCTTGCCCAACCCCCTGCTCCCTCCACCTTCATGCTCAGTGTTGTGCTGAATAAAATGGACATATTTTTCTCTATGAGGCTTCATTTGGTTCTTCTCTAAGTCAGAAGCAGCTCAGGGACTTCTGAGCCTGTGTGGAGTGGAAAACGCCCAGAAAGCTTGAGGTCGGGGAGGACCTGGCGATGGCAGGTGCTGCTAGGCGCTCACAGTGGCCCGGGCACCTAGTGACCCAAGTGACGTTGGAGCCCAGGCAGTCCGCCCCAGCATCCATCCTCCTAATGCCTGTACCAGACGGATGTGGATTTGAGGTCCTGCTCTGCCCTGCCTGCCACATCCGTGGCCTGGCGGGGAGCTACTCAGCCTTTTGTGCCTTGGTTTCCTCACTTGTCAAATGGGAACATCAGTGCCACCTACATTATGAGATAACGCAGGTGACGGATCTAGCACAGGGCTCGATAAATAACGACTGTGATGAATAATGACCAAGAAGTTAATATAGATAAAATGCCTGGCACAAAGCCCGGGCCGCGGTTAGCACACAGACGTCCAAGCCGTTTCCATACCTGCTGACACACACACAAACACACACACACACACACGTCTGTTTACAGCGTCTTTTTGTGATCGCAAGAGACACAGGGTCCAGTCTTTGTGTGTGACTTTAAACATCTTACCTCCCTTTTCTGGATTTTCTGAATTTCTATTTCGTCATCTGTAAATGAGAGACTGGACAGTCGTTCAAAGATGATAACAGCTCCTTGGGTCTCTCCGGGGTGGACTCCACCCGACCCTGGGGCAAAGGGGCCCCGTCTCCCTAAGTTTGGGTGACGAGCCAGCTAGACGAAGCAGTGGGGGGACAGCCGGCACTTCACACGCCAGCAGGCCTCGGGCTTGCTCAGGGGAGCACCCAGGAGCCCCAGACAGGAGACAGAAGCAAGTGATAAGGGTTGACTTCATGGGGAGACAGACTGTTTTCCCTCTGTGAACCTTCGGGCTCCTTTCCAGAATCTTTATTCAGCTTTTCACTTGAGTATCATTTTTATTTACATTTTTGTGTTGGTCCAAGATTCAGCCCCAGTGGAGAATGAAGGGTGAGAACCCTGCCCAGCCAAGCTCCCTCCACCTGGCGCTCCCGGTCGCAATGACGTGGCCCGCCGCCACCATCTCTGTCCCTCAGATGTAGTTGTCCCACCAGATCAGGCTCAGCTGCAGCCCAGTAATCCGAACAGCGGCACCACAAGGCGGGCCAGGCTGGGCATTGTGCTGCATGACGGCCTCCTGGAGCCGGAAAGTCTCCCAACCCAGTGTGACCCCCAGAGGCGAAGAGGGCAGAGGAGCGGGGCCACGGGCTGGATGCCAGCGGTCACTTGCAGGTGGCGTAGTAGAGCACGCGCTCGTTGATGTGGTTGCGGATCCGCTCCACGTGCTTCTCCAGCCCCGACAGGTCGGCCGAGCGAAGCACGATGGCCTGGCTCCCCCGGAGCAGCTCCACCTCCATGTCTAGGGGACAGACGGAACACCGGGGGCGGGGGGCAGGAGGAGGAGCTGGTGAGACTCCCAGAGACTCCCAGCCCTTCCTTCCCCTCGCACCCACCTGGAGGCAGCACCTGCAGGAGACGTCACCTCCACGTCCACTTCCACGGAGGGGAGTCTGGCCCCAAGGCAGCTTTCTCCAGGCTCAGGCCTCTCTAGCCCCTCTCCCACTCTTAGAGACACACCATAGAGGCCAAACCCAGGAAGCTGCCACCCCAAGCATCCCCCTGCCCCTGCACTTCTCTGCTCTAGACAGAGTTGTCCCAGGCTGATGAGGGAGGCCACTGGCCCTAAGACTAGAAACCTGCTGCTCTTAGACCCAGCCAGCTGTCATCCCGCCAACGATCCTTAAGTGGGTAGGCACCAGAACTCCTCCCCAGCTTGTCTCCCCAGAATGTCACTCCAGAGAGACCTAGTCCTCCTGCTCTGGTCTGTTGGGTAGACCACCACCAGATTATGTGCGGAGGATGTGAAGGACGTGGTCTGGTCCAGCCCGTCCCTACTGTCATCCGAGGCAAGACCCCCCCACCACCCCACCACCACATTCATGAGAGTCGGTACCCAGTTTCAGCCTGAATTTTCCAGGAATAGGGCAGGGAGGCTCCAACTTCAGGCAGTTGGGGTTGTTAAAAGTCTTCTCATAAAGGCAGAATCTGCCCACATCTGGCTTCCACCCGATTTTCCCAGGTCGGTCTGGAGGGGTGTAGGAATCTGCTTGCTCTGTCTCCCACCTGGTAGTCCGTCCTTCACGTGTCTGAGGCCTCGCCCTCCGCAGATGAAACCTCCCTAGCTCCTTCATGCGCTCTTCATCTTACACAATCATCAGGCCTTCCCTGCCTCCCAGCCCCGGTCAGCCTCCCTCCGATGTATGCAGGTTCGTCAGCATCCCTTCTGAGATGTTATCAGCAGAGTGGAACAGGGTTATTACCAGCCTATCACCAGCGGGCACCCAGAAAGATCTGTGGGTCAGTACGACACATTTCTACAGCTGCTGCTCTGTTCCCTGGTCCTCGTCCCCAGAGTCTCCCTACCCGCGATCTTCCCCACACCCTACAATGAAAAGGAAATTCTCACAAGCAAGTAAATGTTTGCCGCAAGGCAAAACCTGAGCTTTTTCTGACTGGTCGGTGAAGGACTCACCAGTTACAAAATATTTTTAATGCCATTTTTAACGCTGCTTTGTAGTTATTGGCTCTTTTGGCAGGAGCAAGGCACTTCTGACTTACATCAAGCTTACAGTTCCTCAAAACTCTAGGGTCTTTTTCAGGTGAGCAACAACCTGCATGTGTTCATCACTTTACCAGTTATATAAAGTGTTTTCAGCTGCATTAGCCACCGAGCAGCCAGGCCTCACCTGAGCTACGCTTGTGAGTTTAGGTCCAAGCAAGGGCAGAGCGAGAGAGGGTTTTTCTCCTTAGTTTATCCTGTTAGTTTCAGCCCATCCTCTTAGACCTCTGGGAATGCCTTAGAATGACGGTTCTGTTACCTAGTGTATTAACTGTCTGTCATCTTAGACCTGATAAGCACGTTCTTTATCTTCGTACAAAACACTGATGGACGAGGCCAGGGCATGCACTCACCCAGCCCTGGGCTCCTGCATGTAGATCAGCCCCTCTCACCTCCCTCTTCAGGTGGGACTGGCCATAGCCTCCAACCTACTCACTGTCAGTTGGCCAGCCCACCCATCTCCAGGGTGTCCATCTGGCTAGCCAGGCAGATTTTTGTCAAAAGCTTTCTCTAAAAGTCAGAGCAACTCTGGTTGTGGCATTTGCTGGGCCCACCAGTGCAGTGACCCATCATCGGGTCTCAGACATCAGCCTGGTTCTTGGACATCCCTGTTCTCCTTTCTGAGGAACCTCAGAACCCTTTCAATATCTCCTTTCATTAAGTCTTGCCATATTCAAAATCTTTGGATGCTTTCCTACTGTCCCCAGGGCTGTCTACCCTCCCCATCCTGGCATCAGGGCCAGCCCCACGGACCCGCCACACTGGCCTCATGCTGCTCTCTCCCGCCTGTTCTGGTCTCATCAACCCTCCTCTCCAGTTGTGGTCCTGCCCGCATCCTCCGAACATGCCCTGTTCCCTCCCACCCCCCCATCCTGCTGGGCCTCCTCCTCCTCCTCACAGCCTCTCCCAGGCCTACTCATCCTTCCAGGCCCACCTCAAATCTTATCTTTTCTGAACGTTACCTTCACTGAACGTTTCTCTCTGACATTATTTATCCTCTGAACCTCTGGAGCGCCTATTTTCCGGGGCTTTTATCACAGACCACCTGGTGCTGTTAAATACAGTTCCATGAAGCTGACAGCCAATAGGAAAAAGGGCCCCATCTGGATGGCAAGCTTCTTGAGGGCAGGCTGAGTCTTGCAAACATCTCTCCTCTCCTCACAGCCCCACGATACTGGGCGTTCGGATTCCTGACTGACCTCACTTCCTGAGCACTTAGAGCTCCAACAAGAGGGGGCTGCAGAAGCCCTGGGTGGGGAGCAGCCTTCGGGGATGCCCCGCAGTCCACGCCCATGGACCATCCCCTCACCTTTCATCCTGTCCATCATCTCCATGGTCTCCCCAAACAGTTCCTCTGCCTCCGTCTTGACGGTCAGGATCCGGCTGCCCTGCTCCCCCAGCACGGGGCTCCGACCCAACCGGTCCTTCAGCTCGGCATATTTTTGCTTTACTCTCTCAAATCCCTGAAAAAGGCAAAAGAGTCTCCGTGTCACCATCATCGTCATCATCCAAAGTCCTAAAGGCCTTTGGCGAAAGGACTTGCTCTCCCCCAAATCAGCACAGAGATGCGGTGCCTCCTACTGTTCCCAGTGGGTTGGTTCTGCCTATGAAAACTCCTGGGCCACCAACTGTACCTTAACTTCTGTATTTCCCTCCCTCCAGCCACAGGCCCCATCATTCCCCACCTCACTGCCTGCGCCAGGGCCACGCACACAGTTGTCACCCAGTACGCTTGGCAGCTGGGCCATCGTACTGGGACTGCAGGTCCCCTGGGGATACTGAGAATGGCTCTTTGATTTTCTCGCTGATCTAAATCTGACTGTGATGGGGCTGAGGTTGAACTAAGCCAAGCGCGCCTGTCCGGGCCGGGCGGCCACAAAAGGGGACAAGCTCTGGATCGAGTGTCAAGAGACCTGCTCTTAGATGCGCTTTAGTCCTGGACAAAGTCACCACCTCATCTGTGAAGGGGGAGGAATGGGACAGGCCGTTTCCAACATCCCTGGGCCAGCTCCACCAAAGGCAGCTGGGGGGAGGATGCAGATGCCCGGCCACGTTTATGTTTATCCTGAAGCCCCTTCTGGATAGTTTAGGGTAACTGTTACTCTAAGTGCTTTGGAGCCCGTGGTCTGTGCTTCCTCAGGCTGACGCTGCCTTCTCCGTACCTCCTGGGCACTCAGCGCCCGCTCACTGGCCTCCTCTGCCAGCTGTCGGGCCTCTGCTGCCTGCGCCTGCTGCTGCCTGGCCTGGCGGCCGAGCTCCTCCATCCGTGCCCGGAAGCCACCCAGCTGCTCCAGCATGCCGGTCACCAGTCTTTCT